TAGTTTTTTCTATATATTTTTAGTTGTCCAATTAATTTCTTTCTATTTTTAGTAGAGACGGGGTCTCGCTCTTGCTCAGGCTGGTTTCGAACGCCTGAGCTCAAACAATCCGCCCGCCTCGGCCTCCCAGAGAGCTAGGATTACAGGCGTGAGCCACCGCGCCCGGCAAGTTCCATTCCTTTTTACGGGTTGAAAATCATCCCGTTTAGCTCGATGCTCTGTCCTCGGGGCTCACCAGGGTGGTGGCCCCATCTCTCTGCCCTAGGCATGATGCCTTCTACCTGTATTTTAATACGCTGCAGACTATTCCTTTGACAGTGAAAAGGTGCTCCTAACTCTCGACCCAGTGTGGCATCGCTCCAGGAAACAAAGGAAGAGAAATTTAAAGGAGATTTCCTTGACGCCTATCAAAGTGCTCATAATGTAACGTCAATCAACTCATGCGGTCAGTTGATATTTAGCTCTGCCGGGCATCTTCCTGACTTTCCCCATATCAGGCGACAGGAAGCTCAGAGGTCGGCAGATGCCCGCTGTGATTGGTGGATTCGAAGTTTCCCGCCAGGAGGACTATCCAATCACCTTGAGCTCCGTGAGGCGCGCGGAGAGGCTCCTGGCGCGGAGTTTCATCCAGTCAGATGGCGAGTTGGCCCGTGACGTCAGGCAAGGCAGCGAATATAAACGGGTCCGGGCCAGCGTCTTTTCTCCCCAGCCCCCTGCAGCTGCCTGCGCTATGGGCAAGCCTTCCTCTGCCGCGTCCTCTGATGCCTGCCTCGGCGCCAAGGAGCCCCAAGAGGCCGGATCGAAGACGACCCAGAAGCAGAAACAGCCGAGGCGCAGCGGAAATCGCCCCAGCCACAGCGGGGACAGCTTCGCTACCTACTTCCCCAGGATCCTGAACCAGGCCCACGTGGGGCTCAGCCTGTCCCAGGAGGCCCTGAGTGTGATGGATTCCTTCGTTCATGACATCCTGGAGCGCATCGCCGAGGAGGCCGGCCGGCTGGCCCGCTACACCCGGCGCTCTACCATCACCTCCAGAGAGATCCAGACCGCCGTGCGCCTGATGCTGCCCAGGGACATCGGCAAGCACGCCGTGTCCGTGGGCACCAATGCCCTTATTAGGTACGCCAGCCGCAAGTGAGCTGCCTCAGGCCCGCCTGAGCACCGAAACCCAAAGGCTCTTTTCAGAGCCACCGCAGTTGTCCCGAAAGAGCTGTAGCACGCCTCAGGGGACCCAGTGGAGTGCGGGAGCAAGTGGCAGGTGGCGTCCTGCTGATTTGAGAGGCACGTGGTAGACGGCGTCCTGCCGATGTGAGCGGCATGTGGCATGTGGCAACCTGCCGATTTTGAGGGCAGGTGGCCTGTGGCATCCTGCCGATTTTGCGGGCATTCTTTACCGTGAACGAATCATTATCAACTCTAATCTTTGTAGTGCAGTTTAGTCCAGGGAAATGTAGGGGATTTTCCTTAATCATGATGTATTTCATCAGTTTCCTAAACAGTCTGTTTTATCAGACATTTTTCCAGGTTATCCTCTCTGGAGATATTTTGTTGTGATGATCCTTTTTTTTTTTTATTTTTTATTTCTGCATATTATGGGGATACAAGTGTTTAGGTTACGTATGTTGCCCTGTTCCCCCTCTCCCACCCGAGTCAGAGCTTCAAGCGTGTCCATCCCCCAGACGGTGCCCATCGCGCTCATTATGTATGTATATACCCATCCCCTCCCCCCTCCCATCTGCCCGACGCCCAATAAATGTTGTTCCTATACGTGCACTTAGGTGTTGATCAGTGAAGCCAGTTTGCTGGTGAGTACATGTGGTGCTTATTTTTCCATTCTTGGTGTTTCAATGATCTTTACCGTTTGCACGCTCATGCTCTCTGGTGTGTACGAGTGTACCTGGTGTTTTCCAGACGGTCAGTATGTGTGATATGGCCACTGATGAAGTGAATATACTGATACAAGGCCCAGTCCACGTAACCCCACTAAACTTTGTCAGTGTATCTCATGTTAGGCATTTATTTAAATACATCAATGAGGGCCCAATCACAGTATAGAAGTAGCTAAATAAAAGTTTCAAGAAACGATTCACTTTTCCAGCTTCCTGGACTCTGAAATTACAATTTCAATCCACCAAGCTCCCTCAGATGTTTTTTGTTTCCTGCCAATAATCTTTCCATTTACTAAACACAAATCTTTACTTCCAATCATGCATCACTTGGATGAAGAGCGTGTCCAAGGAAACAGTTCAAGCCGTAGCGTACAGTGGTGTAGCCAGTGAGTTGAGTGACACGCAACCCTCGAGCAGCAGTCATTGTGCCAGTGTGTGGGGGAGTGACCGAGGTTGAACCCCTAACAGCCTTCCTGTGATGTGACATTCATCCTGGAGGTGGAAGGGATGTGAGTGCGATCCTTTACCTGTTGTTTTTGTTTGCAGGCTTTTTAATCATGGTGATTTAAAGACAAGAATCCAGAGCTGGGACTAGGACATGACTCTTGCCATCTGCATCGAAGTATGCGGAGGTTGGTCAGCCATTAGGAGAACTAAGATAACTCCTTTTTGCTCAAGCGAGTTGAATAATATTAATGTGGGTTTTTTTTATTTTTTTTATGTACATGTTAATGTTAGCATATTCTACCTTCTGTTGTGTTTTCTTCTTGGTCTAATGTCTTTTTATTTGTTGCATTGTTCTGTAAGTGTGCTGGTGAATTCAGAGAAGCCGGTGACCTTCTCATTCCTTTTCTTTTCAGACCGATTTCTAGTCTCCTAGGAGTGCGGCCAGAGAACCTACATACGCGGATTACACTTTAAAAATCCTTGTAGGCCAAAATACTCTGGGATTTTAATTCATCACAACATATTATGCTGTGCCTTAAAGCTAAGTATTTGGTCATTTGTGTTAAATGATGCAAGTGAGCTTTTGGACCAAGTTGTAAGTGACCCTTTTGATTAGTAGGGAGAAACCCGTACAAAGTGGTACTCTCAGTCAAACCGCGAGACAAAAGCTGGATAAATGACAAAAATCAAAACTTTTCTCGAGCCAATCAGAAGTGGGAAAAGACCTCCCTGCAAAGACCCGTACACAGATTATTCCACCATTGCCAGAGCACCACTTGCTCAAGAGGGAAATGGGGTAGGTCGGGGTACTAGAGAGGGCTTTCCTGAGCGGTGAAGGTGGGAATGGGAGATTTTTCTCTTCCAGAGCTTCCCTTGGGTTCAATAGAGAAAGGATGTAGAATAATTAAGCCCCCGCATCAGGATTGTTACTTACTGTTCTTGCAGAATATTAGAGCAGTAATCCATGACCTAAGCTGCAGGACCCACCTTGTCCAGGGTCACACACTTCCTGAGCTGGTCACATCCAAGGGCTGGTCCAGAGGGGATTCGAAGGCATGGTTATTTCCTCCAAAGGTAGAATATATCTAATGGGCCATTTAAGTTCTAAAGTCCTTGCAAGGTTTGGGAGTAGAGTTGAGATGCTCCTTGGAATTGGATTTATGTGAAGTGCCCCTGTTAGAATATTGGCGGTGACCAGAAGAAGATAAGAAAGAGAATGTTCAGAGTCCAACTGGTGGGAATGGGTTGGAATCAAAGACAGCAATTGATCAAATCAACAGAAGGTGAGAAACGATGGGAAAGGACACATGCAAAAAGCAGAGCAGACAGGAATGCAAACACAATAATGGGCAGATGAAGCTCCCAAATAACACTAGTCTTAGTTACTGCAGATGGTTTTTTGTTTTTTGTTTTTTTTTTT